ATATATATATATATATATATATATATATATTTATATATATATATATATATTTATATATATATATAGATAGAGAGAGAGATATATATATATATATATATATATATATATATATATATATATATATATATATATATATATATATATATATATATATATAAATAACTATTAAATGTACACTTTATAGCCCACACTAACACTCATATATTAATAATAAATTACATAAAAACCAAATAATTGCGAAAAAATGCAGCCTTTTCAATCAAAAAAATTTTTAACATGAAACAAACAAATTAACAGTATGTTAAGCATTATGTTCAAGCTACTCCTTCCCAGAAAATATAAACAGTAATCAGAGAAATGGCAGTATCTGGCCCTGAATGCTCAAAAAATAAGAAGATAAGGACAAACCAAACGAATGCTTTTTGAGTTTGAAAGTGAGTAAATATAAAAGTGATGATAGAGCCTGCGCCACTTTAGCTTTTTTAACACAGTCCTGCTGTTTTACACCAGTGGAGTAAGTTTATGAACTCAAGCAGATTTAAGCTAATAAAGACAGGAGCTGCACATGGATCCCATAAGAAACCTCCGAAAGCTTGTCTCTCCGGCTCTAGTGCGCAGACCCCGCGGGGCTCGCCGACAGAGGAAAGATTCAGAAGAATTTAGCATCTCACACACACATGCACACATGGGGCTGAAAAAGGTGCACATATTTCACACAACTGCCAATGAGACGTACCTTTTCGGATACACACGTGTGATGCCTCCATCTGTAGCCACAAAGCGGGCCAAAACTCCATCTCTAATACAATGGGAAAAAACAAAACATCATTGTCTAGCAAAACGTTTAATGGTTTCAATTGGTTCTGGCATTAAGCTACAAATCAATATTTAGTCTTAAGAAAATAAATGTTAACTCGCATTGTTTGATGGTCAGAATTGAACATATACAGTATACTGAACTTTAAACTGCTTAATAAGACCTAATTAGTTAATGATAATTGAAGCTGAATGTATGATTTAGGAGGTGGAGAGGGTCAAAAATTTATAGTAGTCTTTAAAGAGAACCTAGGTTACAGCTTTGTTCAAATTTAATACAAGTCTTTTGCGTCTCTAGAATGTGTATGTAAAGTTTCAGCTCAAAACACCCATCAGATTTTTCATTATAACTTTTACTAGATCCTGTTTTATACATCTTTCCACTAGGGGGTAGTTTTGTCGTATTGCGACTTTAAGGCGAGTTCTCTCTGCCTACTGTTTCTACATGCCTGTCAACGTGCCTTAAATCTCCTCCCATGGCTGCGTCAGACAACAGACAGACTTAAAGGAAATTGATTTCAAGCAGCGTTTGTGAAAAATACTACAGTAAGAACTTTGCCAATGAGTATTTGTTGTGCAGTTGCATTGATGAGTGACACGCAATATCGTTACAAAGTTCACGCGCACACACACACACACACACACACACACACACACACACACACACACACACACACACACACACACACACACACACACACACACACACACACACACACACACACACACACACACACAGACAGACAGACAGAGCGCGCTTAGCTTAGCACTGTTTTTGCACACAAATGTGTTAGGGCACAGGCTAATCTCCACTGCTGTATGGATATCTATTATGTTATTGTACAAAAAAAACCTGACTAAATGTCCACAAATGTCCAAAAATTGAAGCCTCTTCTTTCATAATTGTTTTGACACGCGGCTGTGCTGATGAAGTAAAGCTGAAGTAAATCGCTGTACTTCATTACAAACATGCACATTTTAAACATTTTAAACATGTGAACCTTACTCTTGATCATATTTGATGATAATTGATTCCCGGTAGTTTTTCGCACGTCTGGTCTTGTTGACATGATTATA